TATGATTAAAGTTATAGATCGTTGCATTCTTTGTAAGTGGGCAAACCTGCAAAATCAGCAAGGGCTCAAATACTTATTTTTCCCACTGTATGACCACCACAAAAGAGCAGGTCAGATATTCCAGGATCCAGAATACTCACGTAGGAAGTGTTTCTCTAACAAGGCGATTTCTAAGTGACCTTTGACCTCGTTTAAATCCGTCCTGGAGTCGTCTTGGAGGGTTGAAGAAAATGATCCTGGAGCAACCTGAACCACAGAAATAAATCAAAGGGGACATGTTATGCAAAACCAAGTTTTTGATCATTTGATTGTGTACATTTGGGACTGTGGAGGGCCTATCAGCAGGAAAAGTGTGAAAAAACATTCTTATCTGTTTTAGGTTTCCTTCTATATGTTCTCATGATCTTCTGAAACCCTCAAATCTTTTTCTTTTCTTTCTTTATGTTCTCATGATGTTCTGAAACCCTCCAATTTGTTTTAGGTTTCCTTCTATATGTTCTCATGATGTTCTCATGATGTTCTCGTGACGTTCTGAAACCCTCTGACCTGTTTTATGTTTCCTTCTAGAAGCCTGATGTTTACGGACAAGCTTTAGCAGATCGTCCCCCAGCCACTCTCGTTGAAAAACATAAAAGAGCGCTCTGAACGGGGCTGTTTTGGGTTAGGGTTAGGGTTAGGGTTAGGGTTAGGGTTAGGCAGGGGGACTGAACTGCTATTGGGCTTCATCCTTATGGGATTCTGACCAAAGCTTGTCACAGACATTACATTAGGACACCAGGGAACTAGCTTAGCTTGTTGAAATAGGGTATAATATGTGTCCTTTAACTCATTGACTGCCAGAGTTTTTTGAGCATTTTGACTAATTTTTCTAGAGCCACAGAATAGTTTGTGCTATGACTATGTAAACACCGTCTTTGGCAGCCAATGAGTTAATAACCCCAGAGGGAAATTATTTAAAATTAAATAAATATGAGTTAAGAGGGAGGAGGCTGAGAGAAAAAGGCTGTTCTGTGATTGGTTTCTGGACCTGGGCGTCGTTCTGCTGCTAGAGGGTCAATTTGTTACTACATACTCTGTCTGGAAGCCCATATTTACGGACAAGCTTTAGCAGATCGTCCCCCAGACACTCTCGTTGAAAAACATAAAAGACCTCTATAGACGTCTTTGTAAACACCTGTATGGCCTTTCACACGTTTCAAATAATATAAACAATATCTATCACACTTTTGACTGCCTTTTTTAATATACACAGTACTTGTACTTCTACTTATACTTGTACTTTCGATACTTGAGTAGCAATTTTTGAAATACTTCTACTTGCAATACTTAAGTTTTTTAAAAAAATGGAGTACTTCTGTACTTCCACTTAAGTCTGGAGTTTAAAGAATACTTAAACTTCAGTCTATAGACGTCTTTGGCAGCCAATGAGTTAATAATCCCAGAGGGAAATTATTTAAAATGAAATAAATATGAGTTAAGAGGGAGTAAACTCAGAGGAAACGGGTGTTCTGTGATTGGTTTCTGGACCTGGGCATCGTTCTGCTGCTAGAGGGTCAATTTGTTACTACATACTCTGTCTAGAAGCCTGATATTTACGGACAAGCTTTAGCAGATCGTCCCCCAGACACTCGCGTTGAAAACATAAAAGACCTCTATAGACGTCTTTGGCAGTCAACGGTTGTGTTTGAATTGACGTCTATAGGCGTCTTTGGTAGTCAACGGTTGTGTTTGAATTGACGTCTATAGGCGTCTTTGGCAATCAACGGTTGTATTTGAATTGACGTCTATAGACGATTATAGACAGTAAA